AAAAAAAACAAAAAAACAAAAACACAAAACATGTCAAATAGTACTAAGTTGGTCACATGTCCACTTTCACGCTTGGTAATCAGTTCCAGCAGTACTAAGATAGCTCAAAATGGTATAGTTATTAATTTACAGTTGATTTTCTTTTTTACCTTCAAGTAACCGTGAATTATTTTTGATCGAACTATTGTAAGACCATTCCATTAGAGTACCTCATGAAAGATGCTTAACATTCTCCTTTAATCAGAGATACTTCATGGATTTGAGAAAGAAATATCTGGTAGCCAGGAAATAGAATTTTTGTGTTCGCTACATAATAGCCTTACTGTTAAACTAAAGAAGCACGTGTTTTTTTTAGTATAGGGGGAATGGTTGTTGTTTCTTTGTCTGTTTTTCTGTTTGGCTATTTTTGGGTTCTGATCAGAGGAGAGAGAACGTTGTTTTCATTTTTCACAGACATGTGACCTAGCAATCGCAACTTTTCCTGTTTTACGTTGATGAAAAAATCTTGATTAAGCAATTCACTTGTTGATATTCATGATCATGTGACGCCTGTCAATTAAGACGTGCATGATGTTTTTCTTTAATCTTGTACCTTGTACCGCGAAAGCAACATATTTATTTGCGTTCTTGGAATAAATAATCTCTCACGATTGAGGGACGAATTAGTCAGAAACTATTATTATGACGGCAGGATAGAGAACTCGAGGGGTGTCATGGGACGCTGAGAGACTATTTAATCTTTTGGCGGGAAATTTAGGTCGTTCTAAGTCGGTCAGTCTTTGTGATCATCCACTTTTTTATTAAGCTTCTGTTTTAACAGATTGTATGAATAATTGTAAAATGTTCTACCTTGTTGAGTTTGTACTCTTTCCTCAAGATTCCGTGATGCTGTTTTAGATGGGGAATACCGGCTTCCACATTTTTTGACCACCAATAGTTGTAATTAGCAAGGATTAACATGACGCGGAAAACTCCGTTAATCTGTTCAGTTGGACTGGTAACTACAAGACAACAC